TTTTAAAATAAATAAATAAATAAATCTATAAAACAATCTGAGCTGTTTTGAAATTGGTTAGATGTCACTCTTAATTGCATTGACCAAAAGAGCTCTGAAAGGGAGGTGCAACCACCATTTTATTCAGGATTCAATCCATTATGCCATATTCTTGCGCAGTGTTCATTTTCTTGAGAGGGACTGTATCCATTATGTCCCCTGTATTGCTTTGGAAGCTCACATCCAGACCTTTCACGCCACATAGTTGTGGAGTTTGTTCGTTTGTTTTTACAAAACTGCCATTGTGTTTCCCACATGCCTTACGCCTCACCATCTAGCTGTGTTTGTGTGTGTGGCATCTGTAGAGGAAAGCCTGTGTTCTGCAAAGGGATTATTCTTACCACTTTCCTCCGTGACGCATAACCCAGCAAATGGTCTAGAACAGGGTTTCCCATACTTGGGCCGCCAGCTGTTTTTGGACTACGACTCCCATCATCCCTAGCTAGCAGAACCAGTGGTCAGGGATGTTGGGAATTGCAGTCCCAAAACAGCCGGAGACCCAAGTTTGGGAAACACTGGTCTAGAACCCTTGAGCAGGGCCGTCTTTAGCAGATGTGGTGCTGGGGTGCAAATATCCGCTCAGCGCCCCCAAATTACCACAGATGTGGGGGTGCGAAGCTGTGCACTGCCAGCCATGGGGGGTGTGCAACCCTCCCCCATGCCACTGGGGGAGAGCAATCCCCGCAGAAGTTTGAGAGGGAAGCTGCCTGCCTGCCTGCCAGCCATATGGTTGATGGGGCACAGCTGGCGGGTGTGCAGGGAAAGGGAAGCCGAGCAGCTTCCCCACTCACTGGGACACCCCTGAGAAGCTGGTGCCCTGGTGCAACACACCACTAAGCCATATGGGAAAGACGGCTCTGCCCTTGATGTTGGCTCAGAAATGGCAGCTAATGCAACACCTCTTTTGTCCAGAGCAGCTGTGCGTCAGCAGACTGCACAAGTGCTGCAAGCTCTTTACTGGTTTCACTACATTACTGAGCTAAGTTCAAGGTATAACTGTGAGTGTTAGGACCTGAGGTTCTGCATCCCTTCCATAGATCATCTTGCCAAAGGCCCCCTCAAACCTGGCAATGATAGTAACGGCCCTACCATTTGGCTGAGTGAGAAGACTGCCTCAAGAAGCAGATACTAGGGAGGAGGGGCCATAGAGAGTAGTGACAAGCTTTCGAGGACTGCTGCCCTCAGGTGCTGTCCTGTAACCAGTCTTGGCGTGAGATGAAGCTTAGTTGTGCCACCCTCTGCATTTGGAATGTGCCCTCCCACCATCTTGCCCTCCAACGCAGCAGCAGAATATATGGGGTCTGCCTTGCTTGAGCCATCCGACTTATTGGCTAGCCCCTGGAATGGTTGACCATACTGTTGAACACAAAAGGATGTTGGCCAAATAAATAGAGCTCGTTAATCCAGTTAAAGCAGTTACTTATCCCCTTAATTGACTGGTTTGTTTTAATGTGATACAGTGGTGCCTCGCAAGACGAAATTAATTCGTTCCGCAAGTTTTTTCTTCTTGCGAGTTTTTCGTCTTGCGATGCACGGTTTCCCATAGGAATGCATTGAAAATCAATTAATGCGTTCCTAGGAGACCGACTTCAGACCAGGTCCGGGGACAGTCTGTCCCCGACCTCTTCTGAAGGCTGGGGGGGAAAAGGGCTTTTCTTCCCACCCACCCCAGCATTTTAAAAACCCGGGACAGCGGAGGGCTTCTCCGCTGTCCGAGGCGATCTTAAAATGCTGGCGGGCGGCATTTTAAAATTGCCCCGGACAGCGGAGAAGTCCTCCGCTGTCCCGGGGCAATTTAAAAGCCCCTGGGAAGGCAGGCAGGGGGGACAAAGACTTTTGCCCCCCGCCAGCCTTCAGAAGAGGTCCTGGACCTCTTCTGAAGGTTGGCGGGGGGCGAAAGTCTTTGTCCCCCCCCCACCTGCCTTCAAAAGCTGTCCAGCCAAGGCTTCGCGGACCTCTCCGCAAGCAGCGGCAGCACTGCCGCTGCTTGCGGAGAGTTGCCGGCATGCCGAAGCCTGCGCGCGCTGAGATCAGCGCGCCCAGGCTTCGCGGACCTCTCCGCGAGCAGCGGCAGCGCTGCCGCTGCTTGCGGAGAGTTGCCGGCATGCCGAAGCCTGCGCGCGCTGAGATCAGCGCGCCCAGGCTTCGCGGACCTCTCCGCGAGCAGCGGCAGCGCTGCCGCTGCTTGCGGAGAGTTGCCGGCATGCCGAAGCCTGCGCGCGCTGAGATCAGCGCGCCCAGGCCTCGCGGACCTCTCCGCGAGCAGCGGCAGCGCTGCCGCTGCTTGCGGAGAGTTGCCGGCATGCCGAAGCCTGCGCGCGCTGAGATCAGCGCGCCCAGGCTCGCGGACCTCTCCGCGAGCAGCGGCAGCGCTGCCGCTGCTTGCGGAGAGTTGCCGGCATGCCGAAGCCTGCGCGCGCTGAGATCAGCGCGCCCAGGCTTCGCGGACCTCTCCGCGAGCAGCGGCAGCGCTGCCGCTGCTTGCGGAGAGTTGCCGGCATGCCGAAGCCTGCGCGCGCTGAGATCAGCGCGCCCAGGCTTCGCGGACCTCTCCTGCCTTCAAAAGCCGTCCGGGATAGCGGGAGCGCTTCCCTGCTATCCCGGACTGCTTTTAAAATGCTGGCGGTGGGGAGCAAAGCCGTTCGGCCCCCGCCAGCCTTCCTGGACCTCTTCTGAAGGCCGAAGGGGGGAAGGCTTGCCTCCCCACCGCTAGCATTTAAAAGAGGTCCCCGGAGATTTCCCTATGGGCTTTCGTCTTGCGAAGCAAGCCCATAGGGAAATTTGTTTTATGAAGCGCCTCCAAAAGCGGAAAACCCTTTCGTCTAGCGGGTTTTCCGTCTTGCGAGGCGTTCGTCTTGCGGGGCACCACTGTAGTTTATGATGG